TGAGGTTAGATCAAACAGATTTAAGTTTTGAGAATTATTTTGTTAAGAAACTATATGTTCTAGTAACAAATATTCTAATGACATAGAAAGTAAATTCTATGTTATTCCAAAGAGTTAAATTAGAATGAACCATTTATGAGAATTATACTAATTTAAACATCACTAGAGATATAGATCCACCAAAAGACAAATATCTACCTCAAAGGTAATATTGTATACATTAAACAAGAGATATTGACATTTAAGCATTTTTCTTGGTACAACTAGAAAATTATACATATTTTGGCCATTCCTTATATATTTACTATTATTATTACTATTACGATATTTCAAAACAAATAAAAATTTTTTTCTAAATTTTTCTTTAGATCTTCACTCTTTCTATATTAAATTTGAAGTTAGTTGATTAAGCATAAGGAAGGTGTTCTGACCAACCAAAATGTAGCAAGCTCCCCTCTTAATGATCAACTTCCATCTACTATCATTCTTTAGTCAAGTGAATGTTGGAGTCTAAAGACAAATGGGTGAAAACTGGTAGAGAGCTAGGTGGATGATGAAGAACAGGATAGGGATCCCCAATGTGGAGAATAGAAAATGACAGATTCTGAGAAGAGACTGACTCACAGGAAACTGTAGACTCCTGGGGGAAGGTCAAAATCAACTCCCTGTACTGGGGGCTAGATTTCATAAAGAAGCCCATGACAGTCTAAGAGACACAGGAATAAGGTGCCATCCTCCAAGGCTTGAGAAAGTGGTAGCCTTCCTGATAATCTGAGGCAAAGCCAGTGAGACTGCTTTCCATCCCAGATGGGACTACTGACAGGAAGGGATGTCACCAAATAGACTGGGACCCAGTGAACAGACAGAGGAAAACCACCACATATCTCAAGGGCCCAAGTAGCCAAAGACAAAAATAAAAAATCAATTACATATTGAGTTGCATAAATTTGAGAGGAAGCAGTCTTCCTAAATCTAAGACACACACACACTCACACACACATACACACTATTTAAAAGTACAAACATTTAAAAAGTGTGTGGAACTACTTTCTAGACTGAAAAGTACAATTTCCCAGCTAAGTAACCCCATAAGTGAATTGTAAGAGGGATCCATCACCCTTGAGCACCAAATTAGTGGCCTAGAGAATCAAGTGTGAGAAATATATAAACACACAGACCAAAGATATAAAAGAATAGAAATTATGAGTGAAATAAGAAACTTAATAGTCTCAGATTCTTGCTTAGTACATAAATGGATCACTTATATTTAGGAATAGAGTTTGTCCAAGAGATCACAATTGCCCATTTGGGCTTGACCAAATTTTAGCCAGGCTTTTCTCCTCCCCAGACATCTAAACGTTGGCTTTTCTATAAGTCCGAGCAGGGATGAGAACACTTAGATGCAGAACATCCCTACTTAACTACCTATTCTGAGACTCTGCCAACCACAGAGAGAACTATTTCCCGTTCAAGTGCCCAGCTTTTGCTACCTGCTCATCCTACCCACTTGCCCTCCTCCTCTACAAAGGTACTGCTAGCCCTGCTGACCCCCTCTTATTAAAGAAAAGCCTTTTTCTGTGATTGATTTGTGATTCTAGCAAGTCTTGAGGTTTAAACACTCTCCTTACAATAGTCTTTTTAAAATAAAGTCTGTCTTTACTCAGTTTTTTATTTGACGTTTTATGGTGTGTGACTTGGAGTGCTGAACACCCCTTGAGCCCCAATGTCTTTACTTAAGTATTCATGGAGGCTTCTTGGACCCTTTGTGTCTTGCCTGGCTGGGAAAATTTGGATTCACAGTGGTGAGTCACAACTCCTGATCCAGTGCAGTGGACTTGTCTGCTGTAGCAGAATAAGAAGATACTTTGATTCAGTTAAATGGAACTCTTCCCTGTTTTTTGTTTGAGTGAGAATCTTCTTAGACTGACATCTTCTTGGCTCGTTTTGAGTGGGAATTTAATCCCTGACTCTTTATGTGGAGCAGTTCTATTCTGGGCTCTTTCGTGAGGCCTACTTAATTTATTTAACTAGTCTCCACCTTGCTGACTACGTGTTGCACCCCTATGGCACTATTTCCTTTCAATGTCTCCGCAAATGGCAAAATGTCATTACAGATAATTTGACACTACAATGACCATTTTCAAAAAAGGATCCTCACAAACCAGCTCATCTAAGAACTCTCCATTTCTATCAATCTTCGTTCCTTCTTCGCCCTTTTTTTTTTCACCACTTTCAATCTTCCCATCAGCTCCCTAAAATCTTTTGATTTGTTCTTCAACATCCTCATCTCCTCCATCCTTCTTTTCATTTCTGCTAAAGGCCGTCTGTAGTCAGTCCGGACCTGTTTCTGTTTGACTTTTTAATGGCACCACAACTTGGAGCATTGAACACCCTTTGGACCCTACCGTCGTCACCCACATGTTCATGGAGGCTTTCTCTTCCCGCTCCTGCCCCTTAATCCACTCTAGTCACTCAAGCTCTGGACTCTGGCCCATCAGGGGCTTTCAGGGGATCCACGGACTCCAATAGCAACCGTCTGAGGTCTTTCTAGTATTATTGGTCATTTTTGCTATATGTGTTTGCTACTATATTTTTAAAACATATAGATTTCTGTTCTGTCCGTTAATAAATTATGCTTATTGCTGTATCTTATAACACTATATCCTACTTACTCCTTTTTAGCACAGACTTCACCTTATAAAATAGTAATAATATCACCACTACATTCACTTTTATTACATTTGTCTGACATACTTGCTGACATTTTATTGTCAATCTTTCTTTGTTACTTAGACTTAAATGTCTTTCTTATAAACTTTCATAGTTGGGTTTTGAGTTTTCAATATGACAGTGAGCATACTTTGTATTTTTTTAATAATTAAGATAAATTCAACATAAAGTACAGGAAAAAATTCTGATAAGATACAGAATGTTTGCCATTTAAACATTTAAATATATTACCCAGAAGACAAAGAAAACTTATCTTGCAATCTCTCATTAAAAGCAGATCAATATTCCAAGAAGATTTTGTCATTTTAACAGAGACAAAATCAAATTTTAGTTTTACATCAGTATATTGTTTGATACTAATTTTAAAACATGTCATAAGAATAAATCCTTTAACTATTAGCCAGCATGGACCATGACAAATAATATTTTGGGGAAATCTTTTATATTCTGTATTTATATAGACTTTGTTTTGTACATTTTTGAAACAATTAGTCATTTTATTTTGAATAAAACTATATTTTCTAACAAAATTATATTTTGCATACCTTGCAATCCAGATTGCCTGCCTTATATCATTATATTTCCAAGTATAGTCCTATTTATATAGAGAAATTATAATTTGTAAATATAATTTTATTTTATACAAAAAATTATAAGAGGTAATTTTAAACTATTATGCATTTGAATTTTGTAGATTAGCAGAATTTATATACATTTTATATTTTTTTATAATATAACTTTTTAATGTGGCAAAAATAGACATGTTTATTAATAATCCCAAATATATACAATTTAAACTAGAAACTATAAAATTAGTTTGAACTATAAAAATTAGAGGCAAAAAAGTATATAAATTTAAAAATATGCTTTAGTGTTTTCTATTTTTTAGAAACTAGCTATTTAGTGACTATATATTAATTAATTTGCATAAGGCTAAGGTTTCAAATTACCTAAACATCTTAGAAATGATATTTAAATTTCGATATTTAAAATGATATTTAAAAGTCAGCTTATTATAAAACATAAATAATGTTGAAATACAGTTTAATATTGGTTTAATTAGTTAAAAACAAATTTGTATGTTTTATAATCCCAACCATCATAGATGTAATACTAACTTATTCAATCAGTTTACCTATATGTTTAGGAAAAACACATCTAAATAGAATAGAAATTTATACCTGTATTATACTTAATGCTGATAACTTTGAATACAGAGCTGTTTTTATTAAAAAACAATAGCAAACTAGTCTTTTCTTTTTTGCCAAAGCTTATTTAAATTATGTGAATTGAATTTTTAAAACATTTGGGTTATTCTTGATAAAAATATTCAAGTATGAAAACTGGTAGGAAAGGTATAGACATGAATTTAAAAATCAATATGTAAGGGTCTAGAACAAACTTTTACTCTATCCTAGATATGTTTATTTCATGAATAAAGGAGCAAATATGTTTGTTTCTATTAAGTAACATGAAGCATCCTACTCCTAGGGCATAAAAAAATTAATATCTGCCAAAAATTTAATTGATAATTCTAAAGACAAATCTGAGAAATACTCCCACAGGGTAGGAAAAATACTATACTCTCTTTCCAAAGTATATGCATAGTCATCATATATGCAAAGATAATTATTATGTCTGTCGATAATAGTTTAATTGTATAGCTTAAGAACTATTAAATTCTTTAAGAACATAAACAAGTTTCATAAATACAAAAAAGGTTGAAACAAGAAAATTCCTTGACGAGAAGAAAACAAATGAGGTAATTTAGGAAATATAGATTATGGATGACGGTGCCATTTTATAAATGATTTTGTTTGAAACTGATACTTAAGGATTGCAAGTGAGCGAGGATGGGTCACATCATAATAAGCAAAGAAGGGTGAATACTTGAGAGTCTGTCAGTTCCAAGATGCTGCTCATGATCACTGCCCTACCTCCTCTTCTCCCATTTTAGAGCAAATGTTTCAATCTTTGAAAATTCCCTAAAATTAAGCTCATGTTTCAATATCTTATTATTACTCTTTCAATTCAACTGGAAGCTAAATGCCGTCTCTGAGGGATATCCCTTTTTCTCCCAATCGATTGTCACAAATGCTTTATTTCCTTGCAAAATATGATTGTGCCTGAAAATAATAACAATGTTCTGATTTTTCTTTAGCACCTAAGTGAAGGATAAACTTTGAAATATGTGTTTTGATCTAAGTGATTCATTGGAAATAAAACCCCATATCAAAGACAATGGCATATATCAAATTTAGACATCTTACTGCTTCTCTCAGGCCTCAGTAATGCTTTTGTCTTCTTATTTTGGCTTCCACTTTCATGAAGGGCCTTGAACCAGTCCCGCAATCTGTTTGCAACTTCTCTGAATTCCAGGTCACTACATGCTAAAAACAAAGAGAAACAACAACACAAAATGAATAATAATTTAGCATAAGGTCAATGCTAGTTCTCAAATTATTCCAATAACTGAAAGGTAATGATAATTAAAAGAAAAAATTGTAATACAATTACTAATTGTGTTTCAGCGTTTCAAAAACTAAAAATGCGTTTCAAACATAATAAGATGTAATGTAATAATATTTTATTTAATGAAGGAATATTATTAATAGGATTCTACTTCCACTTCTCACTAGAATATAACAGTGATTGAAAGTTCTCATTGTTAACATCATATATCTTGAGTCAAATATTTACATGTTGAACATTGTCACAGTAAGGTGGTGGATCGTCTGAAGGAAATAAGGTGTTAAAAACCCCAAATGAACACTTACAGATTTGTTATTAGCCATATCTATTATAATGTTATGATTTATAAATTGGCATCAGCATATTCAATATATGTGGAAATTATCAACTACAAATACATGCTGTTTCTATTTGGTTCAATCCTATATATATATTTTAAGCACAGAAAAGGAGGAGCTAGTATATTTAACGTTAGGAAAAATAGTAAAATATTTTTTAAATGATATCGCATTCTGCTGTAAAAATAAGGTGTCAGAAACTTTGACATTGAAAACAAAATAATTACTCTTTTTTTAGAAAAATATTATTATTTATCAATAATTATATTTTTTATAATAGTCTAAACAATAAAGAGTAGCAGAATTTTTTATATGTATATTTATACATGTATATATGTGTGTATGAGACTAATGCTAAAATATGGTATGCCAAATTCAGTAATTTATTGCCAAAATATTTCAAAAATATAAGAAATATTTACTTACATTATTTAGAGGACATTGTGACTACAGGTCTAACTCCTCTGCAAGTAGCAAATGTGCAATTTCCTGAGCTGACAAGTGCTCTTTAATAGTATTCGTCTTGTTCATTTTGTTAAAAATAATTTACACAATGATATTATAAATGTTGCATTATAGTTAATACATACTGTATATATTACCATATGTTACATAACATGTGTAACATAACAAATGTAGTACAATACAATAAAATATAATTTCTAGTGTTAAAGGGAATAAAATTCCAGACCAATAGAACACTCCCAGTACTCAGTAAAGTGGATGACCCATACTAGTAAATCATTGTCACATTTTAGAAAACTGGAGGGAGGGGGGAAGATAACTGCAAACTGCCATGTGGGGGTGTAACAAAAATTGTCACATACAAAGAATAAGGAATCAGAATGTCTTCAGGTTTTTCAGTAGCAACATAGATAGGCAGAACGACAATTGAAAAATTACTGTATATTTTAAACTGAGAATTGTATATCTAGAAAAAATTAGGTGGGAAAGTAAGCTAAAGAGATTTTTAAATATACAAGATTCAAAACAACTAACTACCCCAGGAAGCCACTGGAGGATGTGATACACTAAAGAGAACCAAGAAAGAAGATACAGGAAATAAAGATTTAAGAGAGAAATAAAAGAAATTTCTAGAAAGATGATAAAGAGGAATCTTAGAATGCATGCTGTGTGCCAGGTGGAGAGACCAATAGGGGTAGGTTTGAAAATCCTAGGTCAAGGACAGAGCAATGTACAGAATTTATAGGAAAACAATGAACTGTAGTGAAAGTCCAAGAAAACATCACTTACTGATAAGACAGACAATGGCTGAGACTGAGTGATAAGACAAGATTATGATATGCTCTCAATATAAATATTTACACTCTTGTCTGGTATCTCTGTTTAAACAACATCTAGGCAAAGGTCTTCTGATCAAATAAACTGCTATGCAGAAGAAAATAAAAGCTAACCTGAAGAAGAGGAATTCATGTATACATATATAGTTAGCTCCAATTATCATGTTAGGAGAACTGGATGAATGGAGGAAAGTAGAGTGAAGGAGTTTTATTTTTACCATTTATATATTTTTTTCTTTTGAATTTTGTGCCATATACCTGTATTAATATTCAAAAAAATTTTTTAAATAAAATTTCTTTAAAAAACCAATTACAATGCATCTAACCCTTGATCCAGAAATTCCATTTTTTAAAAATTATCATACAAGTATACTACCCATATACAAACTCATTTAATTGGATAAACTTATTTATTTGGCACTTTTATAACAGCAAGTGTGTTAATGACAACTGTCCATCTGCAGTGGCCTGGTAAAATTAATCAGGTATACAGAATCAAAGAAGCTCTGAGTCCTTAAATAGTTAAGAAGCTCATTGTGGCTAGGTGGAGAGCCAGAGAAGAGAAAGAGCAATCAGGGGGATCGTTTTACAAACTATATAAATGTCTAACCAATGTACAGTATATTTGGGACTAATAATAAAATAAAATTTGAAAAATAACAAAAGAATAATACTGCTATGAACAATCATGAAAAAAAAAGAAGCTCATTGTGTATTGATATAGAACTAAACCCACACTATATTTTTGTTAAAAAAAATATATAGGTAGCAGAAAAGTGTGTCTATTATACTGCCATTTATTTAAAAGTGAGGAAAAATGCATTTGTTTATATGTGCTTAAAATATCTCTGGAAATACACATATATATATATATGTGTGTGTGTGTGTGTGTGTGTGTGTGTGTGTGTGTGTGTGTGTGTGTGTGTGTGTATTTTTTAAGGCAAAAACTCTTTGCAATGGGAATTAGTAGAGGGGATAAGGATTGGTGGAATACTTCACTATATGGACATTTTTATACTTTTAAAAAGTAAGGCATGTTAATGTATTCCCTATTTTAAACAAATGAACATTTAAAAATAAAATTTAATTCTCAATTTCCTATATTTCTCTTATGTTTTTTTCACAAAACACACCTAGAAAAAAGCAAAGTTTTATCCAGAAAAATATCTGCTGGAAAACGATTTAAAAAATTTGAAGAAATTGGCACAATTGTGTTAGTATATTTCTGTGAAATAGTGCTTCTCATGTATATCTAATGAAATATTTGTGAATTTGTATTTTTTTGAGGTTAAGTAATTTATATTAAAGAAAAAATAGTATTTAAAAAAATTTACTCAAATATGAGACATTATATGCCTTTATTATGGGCCATATATACCTTAGCTTCAGTTCCTATATAAAATTATGCATGTCCTGTAATGGTATACTTTAGCAATTAAGAACCCTGCAGTAATACTGATAATAATAATAGCAGCTAACACTGCATACTAACTGTTACAACTTCTCTCCATTTTTAATCCTTATAAAAGTTTTATAAAATGTATGCGCATATTGCCTCCATTTAAGTGTTAGGAAAATGAAACATCAAGAGCTGTAGAACTTGCCTGAAATCAGACAGACAAGTGGCAGAGCCAAATTCTAAATCCAAAAAGATAGAATAGGGCGTCCAAGGTCTTAATCCTTATAGCAAACTACCTTAGTAGTCCTAATAGCAATAACAATAACAACAACAACAACAAAACAATAACAACAGTAACAAAGTAGTATGCTACAACTTCAACAGACATGTGAAGCAATGCTTCACTAGAAGCTTACAAATTTCCATTTCAGTAAGTTATGTGAAGTGGTATAAAATGATTGTCACTGCAGAGATGCATAATGTTAGCAAAACACATTTTTAGAAGACAATACCATAAACCTATATAAATATATCTTCCTGACTTTAAAGAAATTGTGTATCTTCCTTCAAGACCAATTTTTAAGCAATGTTACATGCTACTTACTACATATTCCGCAGCAGTAACAAGGGTCCATGATGGAGGTTACTCGGTTAAGACATGCCTGTCCTTTTTTTTTAGAGAGGCTAAAATGGTGCCATTCTTCTTCATCTTCTTTTTTTTTTTAAATAAGTCATGAGTCAAACTGTCCTTGTCACGCACACAAAATAAAATACCTAGCTTAAACAATATTGAAATATAACATTTTTTAGAAGATGACATTTCTATTTTACTTGCTACTAGATCCTTTGTTCTGATTGGAATATGACCAGTCAGATCTCACCCTTGCAAGTGTCTGACAGTCATCAGTAATTTACTACCACTGTTTTCTAAATGAAGTCAATTGATATCTATTCTTCAGATTTTCTAACAGTTCTGCTACATGTTTTTTTTTTCTAGAAATATCTTGCATTTATAAAGTATGAAATGCTTTTAATGAGGTTTTACATTTGATTTTAATATCAAGCCTGAAAGATTAGGTAAAGGATTATTTTTTCAGCTATGAAAACTAGGACACTGAATTTAAATAACTGCCCTAAATTTTATAGCCAGTAGTTAACTAGAATGGTACTTGGTACTTACTGATCTAATTGTATTTGTAGTCAGGAGTAAATAACAGAATATCACGACAACATAATAAAAGTAATTTAAAATTAAATTTGAATAGAAGAAAAGTTAAGTTTCAATGCAAAGTTCTTCAACTATGTCAATTTATTAATTAGAGCATGGTATTATATAAAACAAATGAATAAAAAAGGAAGATGTCTTGGAAATTTAAAAAGTTACAAGTATATTTATATTTGCGCGCATACACACATACTCCCATTTGTGTCTTTGACAAGACAAAACATAAAATAGAATGGGTGGAAATAACATCAGAAAAGATTCTAGAATGTACAAACAATAGAAGAAGACTAGAGAGGAAGAACATAACAGAAAGGATAGGAGACATGGAGGATCATTCTAAGACATCCAATATCTGACTGATAGAAGTTATTAAGAAAGAAAGAATTCAAATGGATGAGATTATTTTTAAAATAAAGAAAATAATTCCTGTAACAGCAAGAAGAGAGAAGTTTTCAGAGAGAGAGAAACCATTGAGATCTTAGATGAATAAATTAAACATACGGATATACATACACCAAAATATCTTTTTAAAATTTAGAATATAAAAAAAGATTATAAGATATTTCATGAAGAAAGTAAACAATCATACTAAAAAACAAACAAAAGGTCTCCCAATAATTATTAGCAATAATGGATTATAGAAGAATATCAGGCA